CGAATTTAAAGTAAGACTATTTTTTGTCGGGGAATTTGACACATTGTGTGCCGAGTATCCGTGCATATTGAACTTTCTATTAGCCCTACTGGCGATGCCAGTTCGTTCATAACATATGGGCACCGTTCGTTTCGCGATTTTTAAGCCACAACACACGAGCAGCTTGTTTCACGATTGTATTTTGCAGACAATTTTGCTGGAGAACGATGTCAGTGCCTTCGAAATGAATCACAGTGGTGTGCTTACTTCACTCTGTACATATCTTACCAGTACCTCCTCATTACATCAGCCACCTCGTAAACTTCGTTTAAAACGTTTTGCTGCAGTTTTCATGTCTCTACATGTAAGTTATCCCTTGTTTTGCTTCATTATTTTGCTTCATAAAGAGGCCTACCCCGCACAGAACTGTTTGTAATTTTTTGTCTAACCGATCGGGGCCTTAAGCTGGGAGGCTGAAACTTTCAGGAAATGTTCTCAACACATCTACAACTTGAATTTACCAAATTCAGCTCCCCGTTATGCGTGGTGGCTGCGCATGGCCCGGTCGGCTGAATTTCATCTCCCTCTGTCAATTAGGAACTGTACAATCTTAATTGTCAGGGATACAGTCTTCTGTACATTTTATCACCGGGATATTGGCTCTCTCTACTCCGAAACTGTTGTTTCAGACGGTCTTTGTACTTTAACATCGGCCCTGTTTATGGTTCAGGTGCATGAATATTGCTAACTTCTTCATATCCATTTGCAAAGACTATTTTATCAGTTTTTACACATCCGCTTAGACATATGTGTACTGGTAGTTTGCCGTTCCTGGCTTCATGCTTTTTTTGTCCTGAGTTTATTCTCCTGTGTTTCTGTGATTATTTTTGTCCTGTTTTCAGCCAGACAATTTGAGACCAGCCGACGAATCGGAATGCTGGGCTGCATTCGAAACTTTGGTCACAAAATTGCTCGCTTCAGTGGCTCAGCATGAACATTTTCAGGTTTGTTTAATTTTCCGTGTTACCACTGAATTTTTTCTACCAGCCTTACTAGTAAAATGGCAAGTACTGCTTTGGTGGTTGGTTTTTTCCGCCAGTGGGGTAAATAGGCTCTTTACGATTCCGTTTGGTGTATGTCATAGGAATAAAGCTGCAACTTAATTCTATGCGATTTTCAACACAGAGAAACACAGAGAGATTGAGGCTGTCCCCGTAAGAGCATTGTGCTGCCTATTGTGGAGGAGGAACTGCTTTCTCAGATCGCTTTGCCCCACAACGAGTAATTAATTGTGTTTCTGATTCGTGTCCTCAATTATCTCCAGCACGCGCTAGTTGGGTAATTTATACTGCCAGCAAATATTGCTAAATTCCCCGACTTCGACGGCTAGCAGACATCGTGAATACCACCAGGTGTTGATTCTCAGGTCAGCTAACGTTGTTCCATCGTTCAGTATTAACCAACCGCAGACCCACTCGTTGTATAGTCGATTACCTTGAACTTGGGTAATATTACCTTTATCATACATAGATAATATGTGCGACACGAACGAATAAGCATCGTATATACGCGGATATAGAAATGCATCAAAGAATAATACAAGAAAAGATGAGCAGCACCTCGTCGCTTCATCGTCCGTAGTTGTTGTCCGTTCGTCGTCGCGTCTGCCGCCTGTCGAAAATGGTTGGAATGATAGTAAAAAGGGGGATTTCGGTATGCGTCGTCGGGACATCTGGACGTTGTTGATCCGGCATCTTCCTTTGTTGAAGACGAAAGTGCATGAGGAGGGCAGTGCCGTGCGGAAGGAAATAAAGCATAAAAAGAAGTAGATATCCATATGTTTATCAAAAAGGAAGATAGCTAGAAAAATACAAATTTTATACAATTATTGCGAAATCGAGATTTAGCAATCTCGATATTGCCGTTGGGACTGTTTTCGCGAATTTTTGTCTCTTGTAAGGAATGTTCTGTGAAGGGACTGTTGATTCCGTTTTTATTTCATTTCTCTTATTTTTCTTATTTGTTTCGAAAAGCGCAACTCTGCTGGACTAGCATTTCTCTTTTTCAGGTCAAAGTTACAGATATGGGCGGTATTTTGACAGGTAGTACTGCAGGATCGTTGCGTGGTGCCCAAGCGTTGCGTTTCTTCCAGACTCATCAGATTCGTGTATGTGTTCGTTTTCTCATATTCCATGTACTTTGTAAGTATCCGGCTTTTTGGTTTTTTTGTTGTTTATGTGATTTTCGATTTTAGTGTAATTTGCGAAGACATCCGAGCTGCCGTGATTTGAAGGAATGGAGACATGGCCATGGCTCTATAAAGGTACTTTCTTGCGAACATGAATTCGTTTTATCTCCTTATACGTTTTACGCTTTGTAGCAGCATCACAAAACACATATTATCATGAGTTGTTGTGTGTCCTTCCTAGTGCATTTTGTCTCTCACTTTCAACTGGGATGCTGAAATTTTGGTAGAATTTCAGAATGGTAGAATTTCCCCGCAAATTTAAAATCAGCCTTCCTGTGTCCGTGGGTAACATGTTTGGCTCCGCAGGGGAAAATTATTATTTCAGGAGCCAGAGATTTCGGAGAGGGGGGGGGGGGGGGGGGGGGGGGGT